TGTTCCTCCTACTGCTCCGCTTTCAGGACCACCTTGGTGGCCCGTTACCTTGCGGCTCAGGCTGATGCCACTTCTTCCATTTCAGCCTCTTGTCAGCTATGGACGCGATCTTGCCCCGTATCAGCCAGTCTCTTAGGAATGCTTGTCTGTTGATAGCATTTTTTTTTTGGGCTGTATTTTGTTGATGAAGTTATCTTCCGCCATCTGCTCCGGATTTCTGTTTCCTCCATCCTCAGCAGTAAGATCCACATTTCCTCCCTTGCCACCTCTGTTCCCTCGATTGTCCGTGTCACCCAGAGTGTCAACTTCCTGAGTAGTTTGAACTTCATCTCTTTGCTGAATTTGAGACTCCTGGAGGTGTTAGAGAGAAGTAGGGTGGTTAGAGGGGTAGTGTTGGGGGGTGGCGAGGAGAAGAGGATGGAGCATAGGTCCCGAACCTTGTTCCAGATCCAGGCCGCTTCAGGGCAGAAGAGAAGGCAGTGGGGAATATCTTCAGGAGTGCCGTTGTTACACATAACACATATTTCTGAGCTATTCAGGTCTAGGTGTTTCCTTCTTTTGTGAAGCCACTGGTTAACGAACGGCTAGAGCTGCATGTACTGTGAGCCACTGCATGCTGCAGATTCTTATGGGTATGATAAGGAGGTATTTAGGCCAGGGGATCATGAAGGAAAATGAGGGGTGTAGACTCAGAATATCTCTCCATTTCTCCATTAAAACAGGGTTTGGGTGTGTCATCTGCAAGCTGGAGTTGTAGCCAAATTTTACGTCGTATTCGAACATCTATGCTAATTTCTGGATGGAAGATTATCCACGGTTTGATCTGTGATACCCTAACCTTCCTGAGTAGGAAGGTCTCTACGACCTCGGTCTAGGGGTCTGTGTTCTGGATTTCCAATTCCTGAAGACTGTGCTTCAAGATGGGGTAAGATTACTAAGATATGCATTTGGATTGGTAGTTGGGAAACTAGATGGTTCTGAATTTGGATTGGTAGTTGGGAAACTAGATGGTACTGAATACAGTCAATAGCCATTTCAGATATTTTGCAAGACTACAGGGTGCTTTCAGTGCAAAGTGGTAACAAACGGTTGTGTCCTTGAGGGCACTTCATAAACATGAGGATAAGCCCCCGATTAGCCTGACTATTTGTGAAGAAGCAGGGGGAGGGTTCTAACCATTCCCAGAAACAATCTTTGGGCCCCATACGCTTTGTGACCAACCATGCACAACACTTGGCACCTCTAACTCAAACCCGACGAAGCACACATACGAAGCACACATTAGATGTAAACTCGGACACAGTCCCTGCCAAACAGCTCAGTTACAAAAACTTGTCTTTGTACAGGCTGACCAGGTATGGCCGCCAGCCAGTCCCTGACCGGCATCGTCTCTCTCTCTCTCTCTCTCTCTCTCTCTCTCTCTCTCTCTCTCTCTCTCTCTCTCTCTCTCTCTCTCT